TCTCTCTCTCTCTCTCTCTCGGATCCCACCAGGACTAATTGCAAACTGACTGAGAGGGCTCTGCAAACCCCAGGGCAGCTGGAGTCCTCTTTTAAGAGGATGCTAAGCCAGTGGCAGCCTTTGAAAAGGGAAGACATGTGTCCTCTGGTATCATAAAATGAAGACTGGATTTGGCTTACCAGGGAAGTCCCCCCCAACACACACAACATACCTAGTATCTACAAGGACTGAGATGCAGACAGTGGGAAGGAGACCAGAATTCCCATTCAGAAGAAATCCTCTGTGCAACCCTCGCCCATGGGTTTGTTTTGTTAACACTGATGGAGAATCTCCTATGCACAAGCTGTATTAGTCCACTGCCCCCCAACCCCCACCAATGAAAAGTTTTACAATAGCAGAATCCAACCCTGACCTCAAAACTAAGTGTTTTGGCAGCTGCTGCTGCTGCCTTCTGCCCCGCCCAAAAAAAAAAAAATCATTCTGAGTTACTTTTTTTTTTTTATACCTACCAGTCACCCTGGGGAAGCTGCTCTATGAAGCTCACTTCACTCTCCATTCTTAATCTATTCTTAATATTGTCAGAAGAGATGGGGATCCCATGCAGGAGCCCCGTGAGCAAGCCCAGCCCCATCTCCCCCTGACCTTAGGAAAAAAGAAGTAAGCAATACCCAAGGTCATGGCTGGCCCCGCAGAGGAAATGTCAGGGACAACCCAGAGACAGACTGGCCATTGCTTATCACCTTGGTGCTCCTCTGTGGGAGAATAAGTGACTCTCTCCAACAACAACAGGAAGTTGGACCACATCAAGGAGGACCCCCGTGCTCCCCTGAGGGTGGCCGCCAGGAGGAGAGTGGCTAAGGACCCCAGGGACGCGATTTTTTCACTCTAGGATGCTGGGTCTCTGCGTCTCAGTAGAAGGGAGGCTTTTATGGCTAAGCTGGTTTCAGTGTGGGCCCAGGTGAATTCTAGAACGTGGAAGGCCCCTTGGAGTCCCAGATTCTATGACTGAATTAGGAGGTCAAGCCTGGGCTTGGTTCCCTTGGGAGCTGTTCGTGGGCCAGCTCATGCCTGCCCTACACGTGGATTTTGAAATTGCTCAGAAAACTTTAAAACGCTCACTTCTATTTTGGAAGCCCTGGCTGTCTCCTTGCTACAGGGAGCATGGGGTTGGCCGAGTGGGTCTTGCCACCTGGTTTTGTCTGTGAGAACCAAAAACGTTCTTCCAACGTCTCAATGGTTGAAAAGGGAGCCCAGAGAAAAAAACATTTTGTTACACAAAAAAAGTATTTGAAAGTCAAATTTGAACGTCCATAAATAAAGTATGATTAAAACTCGCCTACTCATTCACATACTGTCCGTGGCCACTTCCGTGCTGTGTCATTATAGAATGACACAGTTGCATGATTATAACAAAAGACACATGACCCAGGAGACCTTAAATTAACTTTTTGTTGTTGTGGTTGTGTGAGGTTTTTTTTTTTTTGTGGGGGGAGAGGGGGGTGATACAGGAGATTGAACCCAGTGGCATTCAACTTCTCGGGCCCCAGACCCAGCCCTTTTTATTTTTTTATTTTGAGATAGCTTCTCACTAAGTTGCCCAGCCTGCCTACTCTCTGGTTATAAGAAAGGTTTTCAGCCTCTTCACTAAGTTGAAAGAATAATCCTGCACACATACAGGAAAATGAGAAGGTCACGTGACTCGTTCTTTAATTAACATCATTAAACAACCGTGTTGAGCCCCTGCTGATTTTTTTTATTGTTACTCAGTTAGACACCCCCCCACACACACCCCCACACACACACACAGCAAAACCCAACTCAGGTCGCATGGGCAGAACAATTTACCAATCATGTCGGGGCCAAGAGCACCCAGAAAAGCACATTAGAATATCACAGAGACTGGATTTGTCTTCCGCTCTTGGCTCTGGGCTGAGGGTGGCTTCCCTCTTGGTTACTTTAGGCTTTTCCTTGTCGTGGGGTAAAGTCAGACACCAAGAACTTAAACCTATTCTGGGGAAGAGGCGAGCCCCCTGTGGGATCCCAGAGCCCAGCCCTTGTCTCCCTGCCTCCCTGGAGCAGATGGGAAGCTGCCAATGCCCCTGGGACCTGTCTACCCACCATCAGCCTCCTCCGGCCTGGGCACCGTCAAAGCTCTGGGACTGAGCTGGGAATTGTCTCCTCCAATATCTAAGAGCTTCCCAGTGCATCTTCCCAGTGAGTCTTCCCGGGATCCCTCGGCATTCCCTTATCCATGCAGACTGAGGAGTGAGAGTGCGCCCCCTACAGGGCAAGCTGAGCCAATGAGGCGCGGTGGCTGCCCAAGACCCAAAGTAATTGGTTTCTTGTCACCTCCATCCCGGGTCCCACCCCCTTTGCCTCCTGGCCACGGGGAACCCAAGAATAGGGAGGAAAGGAAACCCTGGAAGCAAGTAATAATGTCTTGCAAACCTCATTGAGGATGCTTGAAAGGAAAAAAAAAAAAATCCTCCAATTTGGACAGTTTTCTGTTGTTCCCAACGGTCTTTTCCACCTCCGGGCGCCCGTGTGCCACCCTCACTCTCTGAGTTTCTGCTACGTGTCCACTGTGCAAAATGCTGTGAGTCTTTGTCCCCTGATGCTTTGCCCTGGGGTGCACAGGGTCAGCTTGTCTTGTGAAGAGGTGTTTCTGCAGAGTCTGGTGTTCAGCTGACCCGCTCTCCCTGTCGTCTTAAATTCCAGAAATGTCTTCCTTCAGAGCTTAGCCACTCAGGCGAGTGACACATTTCTGTTGGGGACTTCCTGTCAGAGGTGTAGTCCAGGTAGGTGTATCAAATACAGGTCTAGTTCCCCCCAGAGCATGTTCCAGCAGAGATGTGAGCAGTCAAACAGGGACACCGGCCCTGGGAGTGAACGGTGGGACAGCCCAGAGGACAGTAGCTAACTGGGGTCAGAGGGGCAGAGTGGCCTTCAGCAAAGGTGCTGCCTCATGGAAGCCAAAACCAGGGTCCTGGAAGGTGAGCAGGAGTGCGGCAGGGGAAGGCAGGAGAAGAATGGTAGGACTGGGGTCCAAGCAGATAGGGATACCTATGCAAACTGCGGCTGCTAGGGTAAAACCGGTGGTGGGATAATGATGATGATGATGAGCCGGGCGTGGTGGTGCACACCTGTAATCCCAGCTGCTTGGGAGGCTGAGGCAGGAGGATCGGGCCTCAGCAACTTAGTGAGAACCTGTCTCAAAACAAAAAAATAAAAAGGGCTGCGGAGCCAGGCCCAGTGGCACACACCTGTAATCCCAGTGGCTCTGGAGGCTGAGGAAGGAGGATCATGGGTTCAAAGATAGCCTCAGCAACTTAGCAAGGCCCGAAGCCACTCAGTGAGAACCAGTCTCTAAATAAAATACAAAAAGAAAAAAAGAGAGAAAAATAGGGCTGGGGATGTGGCTCAGTGGTAAAGCACCCCTAGGTTCAATCCCTGGTACACCTCTCCCCCACCCCCACAAAATAATTCAACAGGATAAATCAGGGGAAAGTAGAATGGAGGATGCCAAAGATGGAGGCCTCTCTTCCATGCAGACCCAGCTCTGCACTCAGGTCAGTCCTGGCCGGGGATGATCCGAGTGGTGTGGCTTCATCTGTGATCCGATGGCATAAGCTGCAGCTCTTTGACAAGGACCCCCAAAACAGGCACCACCCTGAGCTACATAGAGCCATTTAAATTGATGCAAGAGAAGGGGGGAGACCTTAGGAAAGTCCTTGCTTTAACCTGAGTCTGGGATTCTGCATCAGGGAAAGGGGACTCTTGACCCCTCTGGTCCCTGCTGGCCTCTGACTCTCACCGGCTCCCCGTCCCCAGCCTGCCCCCCGAGCTCCCGTCTCACGGCCCATCTGAGTCTTGGTAGCCACGACAGGACAACATGCCTCCTCGCTGTGCCGTGTGGGAGGCAGGAAGTGGCCCAACTCCCTGGGAGATGAGGTTCCTGTGGTGTGTCCAGCTGCCCACTCCTCAGAGCACCCCACGATCCCTGGTGTCTGGACAGGAAGGAGGCCACACAGGGCCGCCCGCAGCCTGACCCAGGAACTCAGGCTGTGGCTAGAGATGGCGTTGGCTGAGCCTCCTCCACGGGAGGGGGCCCAGGGTGCTGGGAAGGGTCCCCTGGCCAACAGCCGAGGCCAGGCCTATGCCTCCCACAGGCCACACGTGGGCAGAGCTGGAGGAGGCACCAGCTGTGGCAGAGAAACCATGACCAGGCGGAATTAGGAACTCCTGGTCAGTCCAGAGGGGCCCGGTGGCCAGGATGGGGAGAGCAGTGGAGACCACAGGCCAGAGCTGTCCCCGGGGGGCACCCGGCATGAACTGCTGTCAATCAGAATCAATCAGAATCCTAGACCAGTGCCTGGGCGACGGGGGGGCTGAAGGGAGACTTTAGGGAACCCACCGGGCACCCCCCATGGGCGTCTCCTAGTGGAATGTAAATGCAGCTGTTTTGGTTTTTGCTTTTTGTTTTTTTTACTTTTTTGTCACCTGGGATTGAACTCAGGGGCACTCGACCACTGAGCCCCATCCCCAGCCCTATTTTGTATTTTATGTAGAGACAGGGTCTCACTGAGTTGCTTAGCACCTTGCTTTGGCTGAGGCTGGCTTTGAACTCACGATCCTCCTGTCTCAGCCTCCGGAGCCGCTGGGATTACAGTTGTGCACCACGACAGCGCCCAGCCTTCCACCCGTTTTTAATGGAGGTGTTACCATCACCCGGCCTGCGACTGTGGGG